TTGGCAAATATGTGGTATTCAGAGGCAGGGTCAACCGTCTGTTCGAACTGTTCGAACGAAGGGGTCGCATTTTGGTCGGAAGGGGGTCGCAATTTCGAGGACTGTCAGCCACAGGCGCGTGCGTGGCGTATCCGAGGGCAAGAATTGTTTGTGCAGACCGCATTAGATTCGATTAATTATGCACAAAGAGACAGTTTTGGGCAAATTACGGTGTTTTCCTTGAGGAATAGAGAACAGTTGAATGCATCTCCATGAAAAGTTTGACTTCTTGTGGCTGAAATTGAACTTCTTCGGGAACCTACTTTTCTACGGACGGTTCTTCCACAAAATCGTGAAACACATAAGAAAGAAGAAACCTCGCGGTCTTCAAAAATGTCTTCGCCTCTTTCCAACATGCTCTTTGAAGGAAGTTATTATTGCTGAAAGCTCGAAACCTCGCATGTGCTGCTCAAAAACCTATGGGATCCAAATGTTCGAACGTGGGATTTTCTCGAAAAATGAACTTTGAAAAATGGTTTAGGGCTTGTTAGAAAGAGCAAATTCTGCTCTTTCACCCCATGGAAAGAGGGAAACGCAGCAATCAAAATGAAGCGAGTTATGCTCGTTGAAAGCCCAAAAACTCGCGATTTCAAAGAATGTGTTCGGCAAAACCGCCCGAAATGTTCGAACGTGGGATTTTCTCGAAAAATGAACTTTGAAAAATGGTTTAGGGCTTATTAGAAAGAGCAAAACCTGCTCTTTCACCCCATGGAAAGAGGGAAACACAGCAATCAAAATGAAGTGAGTTATAGTCGCTGAAAGCTTAAAAACTCGGTTTTGCACGGGAACTGTTCGAACGGGGCAAATTTTTGAAAAAGGGGACAATCACTTAACTTTTTATAATCTTTTGTTAGAGAAATATTTGAAGTTTCTAAAACTTTTCACAAATTTCCAAGATGTCGCATACGAAAGATTTTATGAGCTCTCAAAGTTGGAGGTGCGCCTTCTCAGAATTTTGGGTTTTCCGCTTCTGACAGAAATACTTTTGGGAGAGTTAGGTCATCCTTGCAATTTTCTGTAAAGCCACCTCAGGCACAGTTTAAACCTACCTCAATAAGTGAAACAAATACGTCTCAAGAAAGTTACACTCTCCTAAAACTTTTTCTTCGCCGCGTCCCAGTTTTCCAGCGTCCGGGTGATACCTGCCGCGCTCCAAGGTTGACGCCGCAACGCAAACGCTTTCTGCGGCGGTTTCTGACGCAATCATGTCAGTCCTACTCTTCTTTAATCCTTCCTCTTTTTTCAGCTGTTTGAGCAGAAGCCCCGGGCGACTCACGACCCAGGATTTGATCCCCGGACCGCTCGCGTGGTGAGCGTGCCACTTGCCACTACACCACTTCCGCCCTGTATCGCTGCTAGCGAAAGAAAAGATTTAAGATTAAAATCTAGGCGACCAATAAAAAACGCCAGCGATTGACTGCATTGAAACGTCCGCGCTTATTTAGAAAGCAAAAAGATTCACAGAAGCGCCAGCTGCAAGGGTTGTTTGGAAGGGGCGCTGTCGTAAACATGGGCCTCTTCCTGCTTCCTGCTTCTTCTGCTTTTCCGACCCTTCTACCCCCCCTCTCCTTTACTAAGGTCCCTCTTGTGTAGTAGTTGCTCACTAGCAGTTCTATATTTCGTACAGTATTATTCATTAAGACAGTGGGGTTAGTGTATCCAAACGTAGCATGAATTTACGAACGCACTAGGAATATCCGCGTGGCAGGAAAAATACTTTTTTACTGTGTAGTTCTAAATTTTTTCGTACTCAGTGGAATAAATTCGTATGCCTCGAAATTGATTCTTGAAAGGGAACAGTTTATTGTTGTTCTTGTAACAGTACTGGTTATATTTACATGCATGATATTTTTCCACTAGAGATGGGCACTGAAGCAAGCGAACTGCAAGTAGACATGCGAATTGATGTTTTCATCAGGTTCCATTGCAAAGATTTTTCATTGTTCTGCTGGTTTAGCGTAACATCGAAAGAGTGAGCATTCAGTCTGCTTGCTGGCACCACTGCCGGCGCTGAATGCTTAAACGGCTCATCAAAGCCAAACGGGGAATAGTGTATGAGTATGCGAAATTGCGTTCCACATTATTCACCTTCGGGTACTCCCTCAACGTGAAGATATTCAGTTAAAGCCAGTAATAGAAAGCGCGCTTTCATCTGATGAAGAATCATATTAAAGTTCGGGAAATTGCGGGGCATTCGTGATTTATGTAGTTGGTTATCGCTTATGCTGATTTGCAGTGGACTAAAAATTTCGTTAAATTACCAAATAAACTAATGAGGAAAGGCTCTAAACCTCGCATGGGACTTTGAATGGCATCCTGGGTAAATTGATAGGTTCAAAAATACTGCTCACAAGTATGGAAATCAAAACTGCTACGGGTATTTTTGGGTTTGGTCGTAGGATAGAACGCGCCATTTTTGCTTTTTTACAGCGGTGAAACTTTAATGCTGGCTGTAACCACCCAGATTCGCCTAATGTTAGCGTGATACTGGAGAATAAGCTTCGGCTGCGAAAAACGTAAAAAACCCGAAACTGCGTTCTGTTCGCAGCGACCCACCATCACAAAAAAACACGTAGCGGTTTTTGGTCACATATATGTCCTAGTTTTTTTACCCTGTTTGAACTCACCTTAAAATTCCCATCTAACTTCCATTGACTCTGAATTCTTCCCTAATCCATCCTGAAAATATCGGACTTAGTATTGTACTGCAAAGCGCTGTTCCAGATGGAAATTATCATTTCGGAACATTGAATTTATTCAAACACTTTTGCTCGGCTACTTTTAAGCCGTAGTCATAGTGAAAGCCGATATAGGACTGGTTCTGTCTTAGTAGCCATGACTACCCAATTCGATTTTCGAAGTGCTTTTTTTCAAGCTGCTGCTATACCAGCCCGTGAACTTTTTAATATTTGAAGAAGTGGCTATAGAAAGTGGAAGGATGATCTCCAAACATGTACCGTCGCAGTTATTACGGGTGTGGTTCGCTAGGATAGAAAGCGATTTTCTCGCGTTTCGCAGCGCGGAAGTTTCTCGCTGTAGCAACTCCAGGTCCACTCGTGGGGCGCTATTCAATCCCCAGGGGGATATATCCCCCTCCTCTGATTCAATCCTCTGGGGGGACAAAAAAGGGTTGCGTCATAGGACCTAGCATACCTCTGTGTTTCTACCTGCCAGACAGTTAGAGCAGCGCTACTACCCTCCACTGATGAAGCACTCTTTTCCCTGAGGGGTCGCGCTGCTCTAACTGTCTGGCAGGTAGAAACACAGAGGTATGCTAGGTCCTATGACGCAACCCTTTTTTGTCCCCCCAGAGGATTGAATCAGAGGAGGGGGATATATCCCCCTGGGGGAAGGATTGAATACCGCCCATGATCAGCGTGGACCAGAGGTTCCCGCAGCGAAAAATGTTTCGCGTGCGAAAGGCGAAAAGTCGCTTTCTGTCCTAGTGAGCCACACCCGTACAAGTCACGGCACATTTTGGAGTCAGCCTTCACACTTTCTATAGCCACTTCTCCAAATAATAAGGAAAGTTCACAGACTGGTATAGCAGCAGCATGAAAAAAAGCACTTTGAGAATCAAATCTGTGTAGTCATGGCTACTAAGAGAAAACCAGTGCTATACCGGCTTTCAATGTGACTATGCGGACTTTAAGAGACTACCGTAACCTAATGATTTCTCCGTAGTAATTGCTCATCTCTTGGTGACGCTTTCCGGTGCTGCGATGCTGCTGTGGGCGTCGCTAACTTATTCAATCGATGTGTTATCGGCAGTGCCAATAAGACATCGTATTAGTTCTGGTCTGGATCACATGTTGGTGACATGAGCCTGTTTGTTGAGCGTGAGTAGTGAATGTTGCTGTTCCTAGTGCGGTGATCGGCGAACTGGATGAGGAACTCGACAAGCGAATCGATCTGGAAAACGTGAAGGCCGCCCCACTAGCAGCCATCTGGATCCAAGGCTAGATCCGCACGTGTGCGCTCACTCACTATACGATGTTACGTTGTCACTGACGATTACTTCATTGAGTAAACGAGTGATTATGATTATTTTTTGTATTTATTTCTTCTCCCCAGAGTTATGATGGGTATTATTCTGTAGATCTCTTCGTTAAAGTATTTTTGCCTTGATTACGTTCACAGACGTTCTGTTTTTTTTTTTTCTCGGTAATAAAAGTGATCAGATGCTGTACGTGTTTTGCTCATTTGAATGTTATCGCCGTTCGTATCTCTTCGCGTTGTTCTCGAAATGATGCAATCGTGTCATTTGATAATACGGTCAAATAATGTTCATTTAGCAGCAGCGATAGTTGATTTGCGGTCATTACGCGTTAGGAATCGAAGAGAAATCGGCGATGTCGCGTGAAAATGGCACGGACACTGTTCCTAAGGTACTTCGAATCCAATTTGTTTGTCCTACTGGGAAGGATTTACCATTTTTGTTACAGACTAGCATTCAAGAGGCCATTATACGAGAAGTTGAGGAAATCGACTGGTCTGTGGATCCTGCTGAGGTTTGTCCCTGTTTTGTTTAGTGAAAAGTGAGAGCGATAAGTTTTTTGACATTCCAGTATGGTTGAGGTAGTGTTGCGTTTATATCAAGGGTTCCCCATACGTACGGCGCTCATAGCCTTAGAACGGGTGGGAGACTCATTAAAAATTTGGTGTTTAAAAACCGGTGGTAGGTGGCACTACTAGGACTGAGCCCAGGGAGGGGAGAAACGCGAGGGCGAAAAAAGTTTGCCCACATCTTTCCTAGGGTTCCGTTCCCTTCCTAAGGCTTAGTCTCAGTACTGTAAGTGGCTCACTCACTTCAATGCCCCCCCCCCCCAATGACATGAGCGCATGCCGCACTACCGTGAAAATATTTTTTCCTCATAACAACCATCATGCCTACGCAAAATTCTGCAATAGAAAAAAGATTAAAAATTGTGCGCTCCCGAGATTGCAATGGAGCAGCCGGCTGCCCACTCCTCACATAGGTGCCAGGAATTGCAAATAATCGGTCGCGAATCTTGCGATTTGCGATCGGTCGCAAGGTATGACACTCGCTTAATGGAAACAGTGGTCAACCTATTTCATTCCGGGTGAGAAGTGATTGTGGTGGCGGATCACACTTCTTTTTTGAATTCTGATTTGGTTTACATTCATTTATCCACTCCATCAGTGATAAAAGGACCATTTTCTAAGTGGAACCCACTCGGAGACATTAAGTACTTCCACAATAAAATGGGATGCTGTTTACCCAAAGGGCAAACGTGGGTGCGTTGGTACAGAGCACCCAAGGTTGGCCAGAGGTGAAAATTTTGCCTAAGCCTAGTGGAGGGGAACCATTAGTGCATAAAATCATTTCTCACGTAATGCGAAACCCTTCTACGAGTAACTTTTTCACCTCTCGAAGCTGTTCTTCTTTTGAAATGCTCTCAACTTCTCTCTCGCTCAGACGGTCACAAATTTTGTATAACGAAAAAAATCAGCAAAATTGCGTAAGGATCTGAATCGTCACCTTCACTAGCTCTAAAGAACTTTTGTTGCTAGAAAAAGCTGCGATCAAAAGCCAAGTTGGCATTTGTGGTGCTCACAACAAATATTGCGCCAATGTGCTAACCCCCTTTCCAGTTCTTAGATATACAGCGCCTGACATGGTTTTTGAGCCGAGCTTCTCATATCTTATTTTTGCGTACTACGTTACTACGTAAATATTGATACCTGGGGATATGCTGAGGAAATATGTACCAGTATAGCGTATTGTATGTTTGGCAAGAAGCGTTGCGTAGCGTTGTTATTGCAAAAGTGGATTAGAATTGTCATGGTCCACAACCGGCACTTCATCCTCTCTACCAATTATTTTGCCTCGCTATGGGCGTGGCTGGCTGAGCCTCGATGTGGCAGTCTCTTCATCGCACTTTTCGTCTTAGCGCGATTCGTCTTGGCGCGGCTTTATCAGCGTTCAACATTGAAAACAGAGTTTTCCTTCGGTTTCTTCCACATTCTTGGACAAGTATAGCTATACGAAGTTATTTTTTTTGAACTCCACTATGGTCTGCCTTAGTGTCGTAAACTATGGTGCAGGCCGCTCATGTTATTCAAAGCGATTGGAGTAGCTCAAAAAAGTTGCCGCCGGTTTTCCGTGAAAGAGGGAAGCCTTGCAGTCCGCTGGCAGGGACCTATTAATAGCCATTTAAGCGTTTCACTGAGATCTGCCAGATTGTGCCGGTTATCAGCACTTTGGAATCCAAACTGGTGATAACAAGCAGTTAGATTCCCACTAATTCCAATTTTCATTTCTTTGTGACGTCTTCCGTTATTTCTATGCCGAAAATCTCTGCTACTCACTCTGGCCACACCGGTCACTGCATATTGCGAATTGATGGTGGACTGGAAGCTGATTGATCAATTTGGAATGTGCTTTCACTGTTCTCTATTCGGAGTTGCCGTGTCATTCGAAAGCGACTTGGAATGCACAAGCAACCGTGATGGGCAGTTGACGTGCCTGTGTGTTACACCCTCAAAAAGTTAGTTGACCGATTTCGGAAGGATGGAATGCCTCGGGTCGGCCTGCCAAGATTGGATTCTGGCTTTGATCTTTTACCTGCGCCTTTCGTTTCCATGCGCCTGGTGAGCGGCTATACTTGCTGCTGCAAAACATTCGTTGCGCTGCATAAAATAGTCGCTTTGTTAAATCTCGATTGTAGTTGTTAGCAGCATCCAATCCGATGAGACCACTCTGATGAGATCATGCGATCTTTCCTGTTCTGATGCCAATAGTTCGCTACAGACATTGTCATGGTTCACGTTTGACTGTCATCTCCTACTTTATTTCCTTTCATCTCGGTATTTCAAAATTCATTTGCCGAAACTATTTGAGATGAAACTGTAAAGGATGTCTTATCATTGTCAATGATGTGTCCAAAGTTTACCATAAAAGGTGAAACAGTCACTCCACCTGATAATTCTACCGTAGGCACTCCAACACAAGACAGGAACCAATAAAAAACAGTGAGGACTTCTATGAGAATGAAAGCTGTTTGGTGCGGTCTGAGGTTTTTTCGGCTTGGTTGCTGCTGTAGAAGAGGCTGCTTCGACATTCGAGGGTTTGAGCGACGACGGAGTATCCAGTGACAAAATGGTCTGTGTACTGAATCTCGGCAGGCGTATGACAGTTGCAATACTGTATGTCGCGGTATTGGCGGACACTGAGGGATTGCCTCTTATTTATTTTATTTGACACTGCGCACAGCGACGCGACTTGACGTTATCCGGTACCACCCAACAGTCTTCAAAATGACACCAATGACGCATCAAGCTACAGCGCTCTCAAAAAGGACTTATACGTGGATGACGAGGACCTGTTATTCGGATGATTTTGAATTATTTTTTCTATGATGCTCCATTTGGGAGGAACGGTTATCTGTGGTTACGAGTGCAGGACACCTCGCTTAGTTCGTCAACGTCTTGGTGACTAGATTCGTATTTCGATGCGAGGTGAGGTATTATCATCCCCGCTGTTCTCTCCAGTTTGCTTGATTCAGCGAATGGACATAAGAAACGCCTTTGCGTCGTTTTTCATTGGGAACGCCTCATATCTGATATCTATTACGGTCAGATTTGATTACATCGCTTGTCGTGTGATGTTTTCTTTGTCGTGAACGGGTTAGTTTTTGCGATAATAGTGCTGTCCACGAATTGCCTCACTTGTCGATATTTTCTTTCGTGATCAGCAGTGAGTGCTTTTTCTTTGCTCTTCTGCACTGCTTAACTAGAGTGGTCCTTTTCGCATCCGTTGTTCTTAAATCCGTTTTTTGAAATCGGTCTTTTTATATGCTGTAGTAGAGGATACGAGATCAATGGATGGGCAGTTATAAATGACAATAGTGTACACTTGTAGGGTTTCTGAAAAAGAAGCTGTAAAAGCTATTAATAGTAGTGCGGATTGCTGTAAGCCTTCTAGAATCCCTAGTTAAAGTTCTTGCACGTTCATTTAACTTACCGTGCTGCTTTCAGCGGCATAATTTCGGTAATCCCTCGAAATCACATGTGTTTTAATGAATGTTTCGCGTGAGTAACTAAACGATTCAACGATGTTCGCCCGCCACGAGCGCAGTTGACTATTGATCACTCGTAAGTGTATGGCTGGTTACGAGATGCGACATATTGCAAAGGATAGCAAAGTCGGATTGTTTGAGTCCATCAAATTTGATGAGCCAATGGTAATGATGCACCAGACTCGCCTTCTAATCTGCCATTGTATGCAACTCCCCCCATTCGTCGCCGCGTAATAGGCCTACGTTCCTCCCTTCTAGTTCCTTCTATTTTTCGGTAACCGATATTCAATCGTGTTACGATCGGAGGCTAGTTTGGTGCCGACCCGTGTGCCGCTAAACCCCACCGCACGCCACGCAGGTGAACATCGCGGCTCGATGTTCGCCAAACCTCTGTGATCGTAGCCATTCTCGCTCTAAGGAACGCAATATAATTGGTTCCAGACTCGTCTCAGAAGGACTACCGCAATACCTTCCACCATTAACTGATTCCCAACTGTCCAGTTTCACCCATTAAACTTATCTGAGTCTTAGCCATGCCAACTACTCACGATCCTGTAGACAGTAGATACGGTGGCGTGTCTAGAAGAGGGATACAAGCTAAACAATACTCTATCCAATGTTGCACTATTCCAATCCTCTCCTTTTATTCCACCCACTGGTGAGGTAAGCGGTCCCGCATGTCTTTCCCTGATTTCCAATTGTGTCATGATCACACCCGAGTAGAATTCGCTGTCTTACGTTCTACTTCTTATTATTTTGGGCCAAAGTTGCGAAATTTAGGGCGCGTCCCTTTTTTGTTCTGTTATTAAGAATTAGTTCATTCGTCGTTAACCTACAGCACCGTTGTGCTCTTTGAACTGACAGTCAACACGTTGAGTGCCTTACCTGAACCGGGTCTTCTGTATTGCATGTGTCCATCTGAATACTTCTTTTCCCATGAACCCAAAATTTCCTTTGTTCGTGGCTTCCCTTGTTAATATGAGAACTTCATTAAATTGTCTATGGAAAATACTGCGGGAACCTGTTTCGACAACCCCAACGAAGTAAACCCTGGAAAAGAATCTAAGTGCGCGAACCCTCACCGGCCCCACCAGTCTTATTTCGTATACTATACTCTACTTGACTACTATTTCTTACTACATTTACACGTTTCAGACACCCATCTGACAACGTTCAGCGAGGAAGGCGAATGCTGCGCCACGCGTTGGTCGCATTAACTGGCGTTGGCGATGGAGAAAACATCTAAGGTACATATTTCTTGCTGATTTTAGATTTACTTTATCACAAAGTGGGCTAGGTCAAATCTCGAATCCGGACTTCTTTCTTGAGGTCCGAGGGAGGCCTTTTGAAATTCACTGATCCATCGTACCGAATGACCGTAATTATAAATGATAAGCGGCAGGGAGGGACGTCCTGTCTGGTGATTCGTGGTTTCTTTGCACCATACTCCATCGGCGAGTAAATGTCTGTAATCCCTACTCATCCTTTCCTTCTCCTGTACTTTGTGCTCTGGCGGTGCTTATAGAATAGTTAGCTTGCTGCCGCCAGATGGGTCGAGTGTTGATTCGGTATTTCGAAAGGTCGTCAGCCGTCGGCCGTGAATTAAAGCAGGGTCATCTCAGTAAGTCGGCTGTTCATTGTCGCTCCACGTCACGACGAACATGGAGCACCTAATCCGAACTGGATTCAGTGGCCAAGCCTGCGTTATTATCCCTGCTCGTCCAAGTCCTCTAAATGTTGTCAAATTATTCTGTGGTTCTGGATGTGGCACAAAAAAAACCATCTGGGTCGATTGGTGCCATTCGCAATTTTATGATGGTTTTATTTTATCATTCCCGTTATAGAAAGACTGTGATGCGGAAGATGAAGAGGAAGATTTTGATATCGATGAACTGGAATGTGTTGACGAAGCTGCTGAAGAAGAACGCCGTGAGCGAAGGCATCATGAACGTAGAGAAAGACATTCGCGCGAAAGAAGAAAGCATTCTGATATACCTGAGAAGGTGAGACTATTGCTGTGGTCTTTCTTTACGTTTTTGTAAAGTGATTTTTTCTTGGGTTCTGCTTATGATTCTCAACTTTGTAGTATCGTCTCGATCGTTATCATCCTTATCGAGGGGCATTTCGTGGACGACGTCTTCGCGATACGTATCGGCCAAGTAAACACAGTGATGATGATCGTCACAAAAGTTCCAGAAATCGATCGTCACGTGAGGTAGTTGTTATAACCTTTCTGAAGGAATTGTGGAGTGAATATTTGTCTTGGATAAAATGGGTACGAAGATAAATAACTAATTGTTGCGGATTTAGTCATCGTGGTTGCTGTAATAACCTTTATGAGTCAAGAATGCTCGAGAAAACTCCTTCTTGGGATAATGAGGGGGTTTGCTTATGTCTTTGCTATAAGCTGATACGGTAGCCGCATTGTGAACGCGCTCTTTTGCAACTTTTATGAGTTGTGCTATTAGTGGCGGTAGCATAGTAACGTATATATTTTTTAAATCCCATGTTGTTGAACTAGTACTCATCAAATGTCTGTTGCTATTCCTTTTGTAGAGGTCGCCGCGCAGGCATACGCGAGATTCGTCCCATGACCGAACTCACCGACATAAGGGAGATAATGATGAAAAAGATATTCCATTCGAAGAACTAGAGGAGGTGGACTGTTGTAAGTGCTTATTGATCATATATTTATTGTTAATCTTCAAAAAGGTAATCCACTACCTACCGTCCTTTTCAGGCGACGAAGTAGGTGATGATGAGTTCACTGACGGTGCTTCCGGTACAGGCGAGTCTCAATCCGGGTGTGTGAAAATTTAAATACATTTTATTAAATGATGAAGTAGTTGATTGGGAACGAAGTTTCAAAACACCGGCTCTAACCGTTTTGCTTTGATGGAATTCGACTTTAGTTTTCATCTTAGTCACGAAATTTGTTGCCTGGCCACTAATTAATACAGCCAGTACGGATATTTTTCACTGTTGAGCTGCTTCATTTTAGAGAGGACGATGATCTCGACGATGCCAGTATGCTGCCAAGAATTCACGGCGCATCTAATGGCGACGATGATTTTCCTGACCTCTGTGAGGAGATAGATGTCGATGCCATGAGGCGAGCCGCTGCCGCCACCAAAGCCGTCCTCTTCGCTGACGAACATGAGTCGCCTGAAATTATCAGTTCACCTCCAAAGCCCGAAGTCACAAAAACTAATGGTGTTTCGAATCGTGGAGATGGAGGGAAAAATGGCGTGTCTACTGGAAGTTATCGAACTGTCGTCAATGGTGATCGACGAGATGGTAGATTTAAGAGCTCATCCAACAACTACAGACGAATTATGGTCACGGAGCGTTTTTTGATGTGTGTAAAACAGATGATTTTCCACTTTAGAAGCACGACGTCATCATCGCTATGTAGATCGAAGTGAACACAGATCGACTCGATATTCAAGAGCACATCAGAACGGATCAAGAAATAGGGACGACCGGCAACGTGCTTCGTCAAGAGAAGCTCGAAAACGTGCTTCGTCAAGAGAAGCTCGACCGTCTACGTCAGGTCATTCAGACCGTCTGGAAAAGACCACGAAAGAAGACGCGGAGATTATTTCCGTGCGGGGACCGTTAGCTGGCGGTTGGTGTCAGGTCGACGAAGAAGAAATTGATGCTTCAACATCGGAGCCTCGGGCTAGTTCCAAGGGAGGCAGCAGTGATGCATCGACGACGAAGCACAGATCGTCGAGTATGGACACTGATCCAACAAAGCGTAGGTCCCAACTTATTGAAGGAAATGGCGACAAATCGGACGGACCTGCCAAACATAGCAAAACCTCGTCTCCTTTGAGAAGGATTGACTCTTTTAAAAGATCCCCTTCAACAGCGAAGGATGGTTCTTCCCATTTTGGATCGCCCAGGAGAGGAGAGCAAGAAACAAGTCGAGAAACGGATCACAGTGCCAAACGTGACATCAAATCACCTCAGCGGAAGTCATCGAGCCATCAACAGCAGAGAAATGGGACCGGTTGGTATAAGTTGTCCATGTTGCCCGTCGTTGCAATTTCTTCTGTGCATGTCTTTTCTGGGCTTTTCATTGGCGGAGCGCTAACAGTTCGCGCGCAATGTTAGATTCATTTAGCCACCGGCGTCAAGGACAAGATTCCATCGTTGCTGGACATGTGCATAAATGGAATAGAAGCGCAGCAAACATCAACTGCAATATCGCTGATCGACTGTATTCGGGACAACTCGCAGTTGGCTGATGAAGGCTTACAACGAGATCGATGTCTGGTTAACGGAAGCGAGAGCGACAGAAATACGGCCAAAAGTCGCTCACTGCTCGATATGGACATTCCCCCTCCAGATCGTAATGTGATGCGTCGGTATGCGATTGCCCTGAATAGTTGCGAGCTGAGAAAACGACCTGATTACGATCGATCAGGGAGTGAGTCTACATTATATAACTAACAAGCTGCTTTATGTGTTTTTTCGTTTTCCAATAACTTTTACATTTTTCTTATCGTTAGGGTATAAACAAAGCCCACCTTTTTTCATAGTTATTGTGATTGTTTTCGATTTCGAGCAAATCGTAGAATTCCGTTGGAAGAGCCTAACAAACGTCCTTATGAGAGTGGTCAGCAGTTTAAGCGCCTTTGAATGGCACGATGAATTTGTTGTTCACTCGCTATGCTATGAACAAACATATTCTTTGTAGCGACTTCAAAATTGTCCCCTCCCCTCCTCCCCCTACAGTCAATGTTGTTCACGATGTTTTTGAACCTGCCATGGCTTGTACGGTCCAACTTTGCCCCTTATAATTGCTGCTGTGAAGGGGAGCGGAGCTTAACAGCTCAACAGCGAAAAGTAAATTTCCCATAGATCTGTCCATCTCAGGTCGGCATATCTTTTTACACCGCCACAACTTTTCCAGAGAACCTAGTACTGATATACGATTCCCATCCAAAAATCAGATACAACTTCCCCTCCCCCACCTGCGCTTGTTGTGACTATCCAAATGACCTATCTTCGTTCCTCAATTAATACCTTTCTTTCAAATCACTTTGTCGAGTTAACGAAATATATACCCTTAATTAATGTTTGTTAATGAAATCTATCTTTTTTGAAATTTCGAAGTGTAAAAATTCAGTCACTAAAACCGTTGTTTCCTAGATCACAAGCAAGATCTGCCGTCGAGGAGTCCGTTGATGTCGTCACCAAGACGAAATGATCATCATGAACGTCGACAACCGCGTGCATATGTTCATGGTGTGCGTAAATAAAGCAACAGCCTAACAGAAATTTCCTTGTTTTTGTAAAATTTGCTCTAAAAAAAGTTGCTTTATTCTTATTAGATTCATTCAGTATGCTGTTATCATTTCTGGTCTGAAATATAATACTGTACATGGTTGTAATTAACATGTTCCTTTTTTTTCTGCCTGTTCTTGACTACTTAGATTGTTGTGGTATTTTTTTCTATCATTGAAAGAGAATTATTTATAGTTTGTTTATTGTATATCCTGGGTGACTACTTTTGAAGTATGCAGCGATTTGTTGTTTTAGTTTGAAAATTATCTTCTATCGGTTTTTTAGCCTTTGAATGGGTTGGTAATTGTTCTTCTTTGTGAAGCCATTATTTGATGCTGGTTTTTGCTCACTGTTTTGAGTGATTTGGTGAGCAATGTTTTTCATTACCCACAGAATTCTTAATAAATCGGAGTTCACTTTTATGACGATGTGTTGGAAATGAGTTGGGATTGTCAATCATATTCCATATCGAAACAGCAATGTGGCGCAATTTACATATGTGTAATCGGGTCAGTTTGATTTCGAGATTCGTTCGATTGTGAGTTTGCTGTACGTCATTCAGCCTTTACGGGAGTTACCATTTCTTGAGTTGCTCAGTTTTTGAATCGAAGTCCTCAACATGGTCCTGCACGTGGTTTGGAGAAGCATTGACTTGCTGTGATCCCTTTCATAAAACGCTAAAAAGCGTTAAAAACTATTAAGTTCATTCTGAAAATGTTGAAATCTGTGACAGCAAGGAAATGCAGTGGGGGAGCTCCAGAAACAGTCATGAATTTCGACCCGTTCTCCTTGAAGTTTGGAGGATTGTTTTAGTCCGAGCGACATGATTGGACATCTACTCTCGGTTCAGGAGTGTCTCCCCCAAGGTATCAATTCAAAACTTCCATTGTTCAATAAGGGTGTACTAGCAGCGGCTGGAGCAAAGTCTGTTTAAACGTTGGTGTTATCAAGTGGCACTCCCTCACGTCTTCCGTTCATGTTCCCATTGCCCAGGATTATAAAGACCACGGAGTCTTTACTGGAAATGGTTTTAATGCACATACATATTTGTTATTTGGCCGCTATCCAATATTTTCATAGCAAATGTCTTGTTTTCCTATAGTGTTCAACTCATTTGTGGAGTGGGCTTTAGTACATTTCCGCATTCCATGTCAGCATTTTTTTCGTACCATGAGCATAATGTTTCTGCTACATTATAAATTACCAGATTAGTCCCCCGTCAACCGCCGGGACCTTCCTTTAATGCGCAAGCTTTCTATCCTCCGCTATGGTCCCTTCCTCCTGTGACACCAACACCTCCTGGAAGTGACGCGTATGCAACACAATGGTGTTTCATACAGTAGAAGGGACACAATCATGATATGACGGTAGATTTTTCGCTTCCCTCCTCATCCTCCCTTCCTCTCTCCACTGCCCTCCAGCTGCCACTGCAGCACCATGTGGAATGAACGGAAGTGTGCTAAGCAGGTGTTTATATAGCCCTAAGAGTGTTATCACAACTATCCTGCTACAAAACATTGATATCTCAAATCCTGTAAGCTACCCGATTTGTTAGCGGTTTGTTTATCCCATGAGCTTCCTTCTCACTCACTTCATTTTGCGGACGGACACACATACATACATACATACATACATACATACATACATACATACATACATACATACATACATACATACATACATACATACATACATACATACACACACACACACATACAGACATACAAACCGACACACAAAGTTAGCGCTTTATAAAATAGAAGGATCACTTCATTTTGCGGACGACATACATACATACATACATACATACATACATACATACATACATACATACATACATACATACATACATACATACATACATACATACATACATACATACACACACACACATACAGACATACAAACCGACACACAAAGTTAGCGCTTTATAAAATAGAAGATACGCATTTCTTGCCACTCATAATTCGCTCTTCCATATCGGACGTAAAGTGGTACATCATCGCTGACACGAGAATACCCAAATACACTTGGTCCTCCATTGAGGTAATCTTCGCACTACCCAGAAATGCTACTTCCGCTTTCGCAGGCGCGAAACTTTTTTTGCTGCAATTTTGCCCCCGTCCATTTGCTCAAGTGAGTACGTGCAAGTGTTCCTCACGGCAAATTTTTAGTGTGTTATGTGACGTTTTCCACTGTTTGAGAATACTAAATACTTGGCAAGTGCATCTTCCACCGAAGAGAGATCTGGCACACAGGAAAAACGATACCTTAAAATCGGCCCTGGCGGTGGCAATTGCCACCACCAAATTCAAACGCTTGCATTTCCGCTGAAACAGCATGGTTTTTCTAATCCTGCTAGAGTTTGCTTCAGTCAACCTTCCCCTTCCTAATTATGAGCTTAACCGGCCATTTCATTGTTTATTGCTGTTAGTATTGCAAGTATTTGTGTACAAGTGCAACAGTGAATGGGCGCTGACCCCCGCAACCGGCCAAGTAAGTGTGACTTTGTCTTAAAATACTTGAAGTGGATCCATTCCTAAATCAAAATTATGGGTTAATATTATGCAAGATTATAAACTTTTTCGGCATAACTATGAAACTTCGAATTGTTTCGACATAAGCTTAAAAACTAAGAAGGTTGGCCAATTTTCAAAGCTTCTTCAGTTTCTTTGTTTGTGATCGAATAGCTTCCAAATTTCGCCATAATGATACCTATATGCTCACAAGTAATAAACAATAGCTAGAAGAAAAATTTCTCCACGGGGAAAAATTCAGGTCCGAAAGGGTTAAGGCTCTGCCCTTACGCGCATAGCAAAAACGGTAAGCGTTAGTTTCGATAATAGTAATCCGTGGAAGATTCCTTTAAGTGCATTGCTTCAAATACAATGTGCCTTTGTTTTAACTGACGTTTCAGTCTTCTTACTTCATGTCGTTTTGGATCCTACGCTCGCGGAAGCGTGGTGGCGTGCACGACCTTTTTTCGTGTTTTCAATTATCGGGGCTATCGCAATATACGGGGACATGCTGTAGGGTTAAGCCTAGGAGCAGGCAGGAGTTCCAGGAGGAATGAAATGGCTCACACACTTTGGAGTCCCTCCTCCCCCGCCTAGGCTTGGTCCCGTTTTCAAAAAAAGGACATGTTTTACGCGGTTATAAATACTTTGCCGTCACAATGCCCCCTTGTATTGCGATAGCGCCCAACCTTCTTTTCGGTTCCCGCGGTACGCGATTTCGCTTTTCCGCGGGTGGAAAACTTGAGTTGCGAAGCGCCACATCCTTTTCCAATGAGGTTCGTGTAATCCCCATTTATGAGTTCAATCAGCAATAGCCTGTTCTGTAAAGAACAAGAGAAGCATTAACCTTGACTGCATCAATGAGTCATCTAACGTAGTCTCTACGCCATTGAATGACGAGAATTGGTCGCAGTAATGTGATTCTCCTAGGTGAGCCGCGGCCATTGCTCTGTAATGACGGATGATGGCCCATTCAACAAAAAGTACTGGCGCGTTGAGGGCCGGCTCCAGGTACCTATCTCGGCTAGCCGCCTTGGACAAATGAGGGGTGCTGGAACCTAGAATTTATATAATCTCAACCATGCTCTGGTAGCTACGTGATGTACAGCATCGTTCTATTCCATCCCTGGAAGTGTTCTGAGAATAATCTCTGAATCCGTGAACAACCCACGATTCACATCAAAATGCATAGACAAAATCTTGGGAAATGCAGAAATCATTTGAAGCGGTTGAAACAGCTCTCCTCATGGTGAGATGCTACTTTGCTTGTTTTGAGAGGCGTTTCAGCGCTTTTTTTTACTGACATAGGTAGGTGTCTCCGTGCGCTTTCGCTCGCTTGACGATTCACAACGTTTTCAGGTAGGCCTCACGGAGCCAATTTTTCTATCGAATGGCAGTAAACAAATCTTCGGTATAGCATCGCTAGGCGACAGCGTAATGGCAAAGCGTTGGCTAGCCAGGGAAAGCTTTCAATCTCCATGGAAATTCGGTTGTAAATCTCGATAGAATGATACAATTAAATGATGGTTACAAATGTGGAGACCAAGACTACTACATCAACTTTCCAAACAGATTATGAGCGACCAAAGTTAGCAGAAAATCTCCACATTTTTTTCTATTTTTTCACAACCCTTTTTTAATTTTCTCGGGTTGCCTTTAGAGGTATTTAAAACAGGTGGCCTGACATCAAATGTGATATCCATTTTTGGCTCGGGGGATATCGGCCGCCAGTTTGGCACCACAAAATACTTTTTTACTGCAGTTCTTGCGAAATTTGACCGTTCACAACTCGCTTGGACAATTTACATAACAGTTTCGGTCTCCATATTTTTGATTACAATCTTGACCTTATCGATCTACCTAAGTCACTGTCCCATGTTCCATGGGAACTAAAAGGCTATCCTCGGTAAGACCATTACTGTTTTATTTTCATCACAACCACTTCGTCAGACGATTATGAAGATGAAGAGCAGGGCTCGTTTCAGCTGTTGATGGTAAACATTCGATAGGTAGTTGGAAGAAAAAAAATGTTTTCAACAGTTTTCTGTGATAGAGCGCAGCTTCTTTGCGATGTGCTTGGCCTGCACTCTTTTGATGCCATAGGAGGTGAACTTGGCTTGAGGGCGAGTGAAAAGATTTGATATGGCGTGCCTCTGATATTATACATAGAAATTCGAAGGCTGCTAAAACTTCTACCCTGCTTCGGTGGAATTTAAGTGAGGAAGCGATTGTGTAACTGGCTGTTCTCTAGCGGTACAGTGAATTTTAGGTAGAAGTAATCTGGCCATAAACAGGAACCGTACGGATAGAGGTTTTGGTATAGCAGTTATAGCTGAAAGCCAGGTCGCTCATTCCCCGTTCATGTGCGAAGCTCGGGACTATGAAGTGGACCATGGTTCTAACGACGAATGATAGGTTGCCTTAAAATCGTCAGTGTTAGACGCTGTCAAAAGGTTGTCTTGAATGCACATTCCGCAACTAACAAGGCGGTATCCATGCGCTCAATAACAAAAGTGGAGGTGCAGCGTGAACTGTATGTTAAGAAAAATGGAAACGCTGAATAGAAGGGTCTCCTTTCTGGGCGGTGGACGCGTTTATGAGGAATGCGAGACAGCAGTGTTCAATAAGGAACACAAGGTGGTTGTCTAAAGGAACACCTTTAAGTGAGTCGAGCGATGGAAGAGGAGCGAGGTTGCACATCACTTACTCATTGCTAGGATAAATAAGACTAAAAGCGAGGTGCAGTCACTTACACATTGCTAGATAAATAAGACTAAGAGGTTTGCGTGGCCCAAGTATAAACCCCTAGCGCCTTATCGCGTGTTTTCACGCGTGAAAGTAAGTATTTGTTTCGCGATTTGAACCCGTTTAACTCATTGTTGGGATTGCTCTGCACCGAGGGGAACATATGGCGGAGCAAAGGTGATTTTCACAACCTACACTCGGCCGTGGTTCTTGACTTTACATAAGTGCACATTCAGACCCGGCGTAGGTCGCATTATTCGTAACGACAATCCGCTGCTCGATTGTTTCTCGAATCCATAGATTATTCGGCGCCATTACACTGCCTAGATAAACCCTGCATACCTCTAGTGTGATGGCGCACACTAGGTTGCGTGGCGCTCAATCACTCCAATAATGATTTGTTTCCGGAAAGGGAGGATGATGGCTTTGGTGCCATTCAGCAATTGCCAAATAATAGCTGTCAAAAACTGAAAGTTTTTTTTTGCCGCCCACGCATTCTACTCCCATTTCGTTTAAGGCCGTGTTTTGTTGAATGTATTTGGTAGAAACGTGCCTGGGAGAATCTAGCCCAGGGTCAACCGTCACTCGGACAAATGTCTAAATTTTACGACCCCAGCCCACTCTGCAGGTCTCGTATATGCCCGTTTCCCCCAGATCCACCCTACGTTGTACTTTTTGAAATTTTTCACGACCACTCCACTACATGAGGATCCAGGAGTCCACCAATAACGACACCACCCTTTACCATCAGATACACTGCCTCCGACTTTGCGAATACGACTCCCCCTCCCTTGTCGTTTGGCCCGATATACGACCCTCTCGTTGGACATGTCGGCAACGGACGGTTGACTGATCTAGCCGGTAAGTCAGTTTCCCGTCCCTATGCGTGCTACATTCTTGGTAGGGTAGAATTGGTTGGTATTGACGGCGTAACGATCCAGATTTAGACTCTTTGAACGTGCGCATTTGGTAAGCAGCATCTTTTCGTCAGGTGGCTATTACTCTTTCCGAAACTAGCAGGTGGGAGAGTAGTTTTCTGATAATGTCTGAATAAGTGAGATTTCAAACTGTTTTGAAGTCAAGCGAAACTCGTGAGGTAAGATTGCTTATGATAGCAGAGCGCTGGGAAGAAGCATTTAATTAAATTTCTTGCAGTCTCTAGGTTCACGAGATCATCTGTAAGTCTTACATGAGGATTAGAGCTGAAGCTTAGGTGGTTCATGGTTCTCGGGCAAAACAACTCAACCTATGTAACGAGCTTCTCGTACGTGTTGGCTCGCTTTTTTGTTTGCAGATGAGTACGGAGGAGCGACACAGACCACAATATCAATTGCTCAGCCCTCCGTATAAGGCATATGAGCAATAGAGGATGAACGAATTCGTTGGACCCCACCCCTGAAATTTATAAATTTGAAAAGAAAATAACCTAATGGTTCGAAAGGTACCTTCCCATCAAAACGACGATGAGATAAGCCTTACTTCTGCTTCAATCAAAGCAATGAGATTAATTTACGTCAAGCAGCAGTCGGTTTAGCTGTGACGACACAGAATCTAGACGAGAAATTGGCCTTGCGAGGTTGGACAAAGGACCGGGATGCGCTATGAGAGGTTCCAGTTGGGAAGGGGTCCTTACCTAAAGTAATTGCGGCCATCATTGGGTTGCTGATATGCCGGAATCGCGTTCGCTTTCTGGATCCTTTTCTGGTATTTGCCAAACGAGATTTTATGGGTCATTCATTTCAATCTTGATTATGACCCTAAGACAGTTAAGACGTTAATGGTCAAACGTCTTAAAACGACTTGGAAAGAAGAATTTTAGGCGCTGACCGCGGAACTCGATGCCGAGGTTCACGCTTTCTGTCTGGTACGTCTATATTATACTGCCATCATTCAATGTCATAATCTATCTGACCTTTAAATTCTTGACAAGTAAACACAGTGCATAGTATATTCCTTGATCGTCTCATAGTTTTCTATATGTTCAGTTGCAGTAATTGTTATTTAGTGAATTTTTATGAAATCAATATGAAAGGTCTTTGTGGTTTACTCCAAATGTTGTGCGATCTATACATTACACTCAAGAAGTGGTTGCCTCGTTATCGTCAGAACTAGTTGTTTTTCGCGCCTGTTTTATAGATGTTTATAGTGTAGCGAATCAACCCAGATAAGTGAGCGCACTCGTCGCGTTGAGTTTGCCATACTGGAAGGGAATTGTGGAATATTTGCAGTTTTCAGGTATTTCACCTATCTGCCAAACGTGGGCTGTCCGAGTCTTCATAGATGGCCGAGATTAACGAGCGTGCATCGACTTCTTCACCACCGGAACCGTCAACACCAGCTCCTGGACCCGAAATCAAGCAGCTCGCTGATGTAATGTATGACCGTGTCGGCGCCTTCTTACAGTCGCAGATTCAAGGTATTATAAGTCAGATGAAGCTTTGCGTGATTTTCAATTCAGTTTTACACTAAAGCCGGAAATAAGGAAGGCATTCATCTCTAGAGTTGTTATACCCATTAGGTTTGAGCGATCGGTGAGATAGTGACACACAGGAACAGGCTTTTTTGTCCGCTTTGGAAGGGGTTAGGAATGTTAGGAGGGGGAGAGGGGTCCGAATTGTGCTTAAGTGCATATAAACGAAGATTGACGCTCGCTCAGCTTGCTTCGAGAGCAGGTTGAAGATTCGGAGTTCTGAAGCAAAATTTTTCCGTCGTTCGCTGCACAGATAGCACAAATCGGCTTGGTTGGCTCAACGCTACTGACACTGGGTTACCATCCTGTACAAAACCATTACCATTGCCCTCACGTTGTAGAGTATTCCCCCACTAAACTATAGTTCTGATATGTTTCAGGTTCGATTGATGAGTACAAGCTTTTGGAGGATATGAATATGGCAACCGCTCAACGATATGTGGACATGCGTGCCGTTGCGGACAAAGTATCCGAGAAGCTAGTACGCCTAAATGATAAATGTAAGATCGCAGCATGGTTCGTGTTACTTGGGACGTGTGATTAACGTTTGCGGGGTGTTTATGGTTAATGCCAATGTTTTTGGCTGGCGAAGAACGCATCTGCATTGCTGCAACTCGCCCCGCCCATAGTGGGCGGGGCTGTGTCGGGGCGGAGCTTAGTTCCCGATGTCGAAGAAGGATATTGTGGGATGCAAATAGAGAAAATAAATTGGACAGTGCATCACTCAATACGTTGTTTGTCTGTAAGTTATACTGCCGAAATTCACTATATTGTGCATTAGCTTTGAATCCATGACCAACCTGTTAGGCTTCCATCTCTCGGCGGACAGTTTATAATAGGTGCCAGACTTGGGGGAGACTAAAAACTGAGTTGAACTTGTCTGGGCTCCTTTAGTCCAGGGACTGCGACATTGATACTGTTCAGAATCGAAGTCGAAGTTGACCGTATTTTGGAGTTTGTCGCGGTGTTGTAGTCAATGCACCTGACGAGTTTTTGGAGTCTCTTACAAGTCATGCATGTTATCGTTAATTCAGAAAATTTTTTCCCTGGATAGGGAATGCTGGTAATATTATTTGTTCGATTAATTGTGTAACCTAACGGGTTTGTATGTATCTTAGAATTACAATATTTCTTATTTACTGACTGCAGCTCGGTTTTCAGACGAATCACTTCGTCCATACTTACAACAAATTGATGAAATGGATGAAAGTACACGCAGATTGGAGGAAGCAGCAAACATTCTCGACCAGTATGTCACGGCTTTAGGTGAGTTCAAAGGACCTTTTCAATCTAAAGCCATTATCTATTTCCAATACATTGTGATCCACTTAAGGCACACATATGCTCGCTCGTAGTGAAATGATTTCCTTCGATAGTTAGCAATCTTATGTACAGAAGATCCATCACACTCGGTGGTTACGTTATCTTGCACACCCTTAATTATGTGAGCAACTTTTGGGCGCTTATCACAAGACATCGGGTGCAGAGTCAACCCTGCGTTGCGCAGTTCTCAACGGCCACGTTGCGCAGTTTCGCCCGATTAGACACGTTCTCTCGCGCGAACATTCACACTCGCATGCTCGAGCCGTCTGCGTCTCCGCCCATACAGCGTGCGTTGAGGATCTCTCAACGTGCCGTTGCGAACTGCGCAACGCAGGGTTGACTCTGGGGGGCATGTGTGGTGGCAGCGCAATCTCTCCCACAAAATATCTTCCACCTTGTTGAAAAAGGGACTGAGCTTTAGGACACAGTTCTAGGTACGTGAGAATTTTAATTTCCTAAAGCTCCTGTCCTCCGACTAGGCTTATTCCCGGAGGAATGCCCCGTGTATCTGACAGATGGTGCCACCCTTCCTGCTATCAGTTGTTGATTGAAATTACTGGATAGTTCAGTAATGCTTGCGAAATGAAGAAGAGTAAACAGGACTTGCAGGTTGATTAATCCTCTCATTATGGCCCCGCATTTCACTTCGCCATTCAAACTCAGTGCAATTTGGAGGTGGGGTGGTCCCTCACCAACGACCCTGTGGGGGGCCAGGCCACAATGACTCTTCAATGTTTGTGTCCTCGAGCCGACAAAGTTACTGGTACAAACTAAACCCGACCCCGGTGGTCAATGGAAGGCTTGATTGGGGCGAACAATCTAGGATTTAATCCCCGGACCCGGGCCTACAATGCTTAAAGACAGCGCACTACAATGATACAGTTGCACGATTCAATGTAAAGTGTATTAGGTTGGAAGGAAAGTTCCTTAACACTCAATTCGCGCTCTTTCTGGATTTCTCCCGAATGCTCTGGAATCTTCCATGGGTGGTATATAGTAGGAGTGGACCGTGCTACGTACGGTGATCAAATCAGCTTTTCCCAAATAATGGCGTTTGCATGGCACTAAATCAACTTTTCCCGCCAGACACTCCGAGCGCTCATTCTGTAAGAGCTCCGCCTAGAGAGATCTGCCCACCAGAGGTGGTCAGGATCAGTCCCGGGATAGGCCTGGGCACGTTCTCTCACATGGCGGTTTCGGCTTGGTTTAAACGCTCCGCAGCGAAGACTTTGATCTTTCTGACGCAACACACGACTACTGCCCATTTTGACGTTTGACGGTATTTCCCACGGGTGATGATCTGTCTGGAGGATTGACGAGTACAAGGGCTTCACAATGCTAGCTGCTCGAAAAGATTGCAGAAGAGCTTCGCCGAATATAGCGACAAGTCAACCTGCTTCACGACAACGCGCAACGTCGCGGGTGTTCGGTCTCAAGCCACAAGACTCTGAAGCCAGGCAGGACCGCGGCTGCCCGTCTGCCATATTCGTCAAACCTATCTATACACCTCTTCAACCTTTCCTGCTCGCTTGCTCATTACCTGGAGAACAGGAAGCTCGACGACGTAAACGAGCGCAAATCCGACACCAGAAGGTTGTTTGGCAAAAATCTTCCTAATTTCTAATTTCTGCGGTGTCACCCAAATGCCCGAAGGTTGGCGTAGTGTTGTTGTATCTAATGGTCAATATGTTATGGATCATTGAATAAATAAAGAATAAAAAAAATAAATTCAAAAATTGAGCTACAAGTGTTAAGGAACTTTCCTTCCAACCTAATAAAAAAACTAGCAAGTCAAGCTATTGAAGAGAAACCCTAACAGATAGTATCTATGGT